ACTGGAGCATGTTCTAGTTTTTAAAACAAAGCAGAAGAATGAAATAAGCCCTAGTGGCGTGCATTTTAAAAATAATTTCTTTTTTGAGAGGAGAATTTTATCAAGTTGCTGGGAAACTGTGCATTACTTCTTGAATGACTGACATTTTCCTAACTGCATAGTCCATTTTCCCTACCAGCTCCATAGAGTTTTGCAATTTATTATGCAGATTTCATTTTGTAACAAACTCTGAGATGTGCATACACACAAGCCCACCCTCTCTGTCACACACACACACACACAATACAAAGATGTTTGTCTGTGATTCTACCTTTCTGTCCCTCTCACTCTCTCACACACACCTAGCTTGCTCTCCGGTGGATAGTCTCCTTAAATTGGAATTCACCTCTATTTGAGGAAGCTGACACTTTCTAATATCCTTCAGCCTGCAGTTTGGTGAGGAGATGACTGTTAAAAAGGTATCTTTTTTACTGATAAGTTATGGTGTTGGAGGAGAATATTGAAAGTGCCATGGGCTGCCAAAAGAACCAATAGATCCAGTTGGAAGAAGTACAGCCAGAGTGCTCCTTGGAGGCCAAGTTGGCCAAACTTCGTCTCTCCTACTTCAGACATACCGTCAAGAGGGACCTGGCCTTGGGTGCTGCCATTGTATTCACTTTTTGTCATTCATCTCAGTTGGTTGCTGATTTCTTTTTATTTTTGAACATTGTTTAGTCCTAATAATCATCTCCTCAGTGAAAGATTTAATAAACAAATTGAAATACTGAGTGAGAATGGAAGGCAGCACTGCCCTAATCTGCCTGCCCCTTGTTTATTTGATGGACTTTACTGAGACTGGACACCACTTGTGTCCACACAGGCTTTCCATTGTGTGGATCATGACAAGCTACGGACAACATTGCAAAGTATGAGTATTCCGGAACACTTAATTGTGCTCATGAGGAATCTGTACCTCGACCAAGAGGGAGTTGTTCATACAGAACATGAGGACACTGAATGGTTTAAAATTAAGAAAGGTGTATGACAAGGCTGTATTCTTTCACCATACTTATTCAACTTTTATGCTGAGCAAATAATACGAGAAGCTGGATTATATGAAGAAAAACGTGGCATCAGGATTGGAGGAAAACTCATTAACAACCTGCGATATGCAGATGATACAACCTTGCTTGCTGAAAGTGAAGAGGACTTAAAACATTTACTGATGAAGATCAAAGAGCACAGCCTTCATTATGGATTGCATCTCAATGTCAAGAAAACAAAAATCCTCACCACTGGACCAATAAACAACATTCTTATCAATGGAGAAAAGATTGCAGTTGTGAAGGTCTTTATTCTTCTTGGATCAACTATCAACACGCATGGAAGCAGCAGTGAAGAAGTCAAACGACATATTGCATTAGGCAAATCTGCTGCACAGGACCTTTTTCAAGTGTTGAAGAGCAAAGATGTCAGCTTGAGGACTGAGGTGTGCCTGACCCAAGCCATGGTATTTTCAATAACCTCATATGCATGCGAACGCTGGACAGTGAATAAGGAAGACCATAGAAGAATTGATGCATTTGAGTTATGGTGTTGGGAGAGAATATTGAAAGTGTCATGGACTTCCAAAAGAACCAATAGATCCATTTTGGAAGAAGTACAGCCAGAGTGCTCCTTGGAGTCCAGGATGGCCAAACTTCGTCTCTTGTACTTTGGACATACTGTCAGGAGGGACCAGTCGCTGGAGAAGGATATCATGTTTGGTAAGGTTGAGGGTCAGAGAAAAAGAGGAAGATCCCCAACGAGATGGGTTGGCCAAGTGGCAGCATTGATGGACTCACGTATGGCAACAGTAGTGAGGTTGGCCCAGGATTGGGCAGTGTTTCGTTCTGCTGTGCATACGGTTGCTATGAGTTGGTGCCGACTTGATGACACCTAGCAACAACAACTGAGACTGGAGATACTTGGTGTGGCACTGTAGAATCAGCACTGGATTGTGACCCACATGGATGGCGGTTCAAACCCACCAGTTGCTCCTCAGAAACCTTATACAGGGTCACTATGAGTTAGAACCGACTCAATGGCACTTAACAACAACAGGTGAGACCGGCACTCACTGAAGGAGAGGCTAAGCTATATTTTATATCAACGGTGATTCATCTTCACTGGAGATAAGAGTGTAAAGAATGAAGGTTGTCATATAACGGGCCCATTGGACTACCTAACCTGACATCCTGCACCTGCACTCTTGCCCTAAATACTTGAGTAAATGTTAAAGTCCTGTGTGTGTGTCCTTATTCCCATCACTTACAGTGACTTGCTTCCATTTGCTTTTTGTTGAGTAGAAACAAAATTTTAAAGGACGGGTTTTTCAGAAACCTCAGGCTTTTCTTGTGATGTGCTCCCGGGTGAACTGAAACTTGTAACCTTAGCACTCAATAGGGTCTACTGCTTGTACCACCCAGGACACATGCTCTCATGTACACACACACACCCCAACACACACATATGTACACACGTATACACACACACACACACACACAAGTGAAGTTTCAAAAATTCATGGCAAAGTTTCATTACCTTCTAATTCCATTTTCCCATGGACTTCCTGAAGCTCCCTCATATGTGGTTGTCATGAATCACTGTCATGTCAACAACTGGTGGCTCTGGAAACATACACACGTACCCACATATCATACACATATGCATATATGGAAGTGTGGTGGCTTGTAGCACAGATACTGGACTGTGAACCACAAAGTTGTAGTTCAAGCCCACCATATGAGAAAGATGAGGCTTTTTGCTCCTGAAAAGGTCTACAGCCTTGGAAACCTTTTACAGGGACATCCTGAGGTATACCAACTCAACAGCACTAAACAACATAATGTATATAAAATACTGATGAAGATTATAGACCAGAGCATTCAATATGAGTTGCATCTCAATCTAAAGAAAACAAAAATCCTCGCCACTGGATTTAAATAACATCATGATAAATGGAGAAAAGATTGAAGCTGTTAAAGAATTTATTTTGCCTGTCAACACTCATTGACAGCAGTCAATAAATCAAATGATGTATGTCATTGTTGTTAAGTGGTGTCGAGTCAGTTCTGACCCATAGTAATCCTGTATAGGGTGTCTGAGGAGTGGCTAGTGGGTTTAAACCACTGACCTTGTGGTTCAAGCTGACCTTGCAGTCCAGTGTTTTATCCCGCAGTACCACACCTGGATTCCAAATGATACATGTTGTTGTTGTTAAGTGCTGTCGAGTCAGTTCTGACCCATAATGATGCTGTATAATGTTTCCGAGGAGTGACTGGTGAGCTTGAACTGCCGATTTTGCAGTTCAAACAGACTTTGCAGTCCAATGCATTAACCCACAGTGCTACACCTGGACTCTAAATGATGTCTAGCATTAGTCATATCTGCTGCATAAGACCTCTTTTACGTGTTCAAAAGCAAAGATGTCAGTTTGAGGACTAAGGTGTGCCTCACCCAGGTCATGATATTTTCAGTATGCATGTGAACATTGGACAGTGAGTAAGAAAGATTGTAGGAGAATTGATACACTTGAGTTATGGTGTTGGAGAAGAATGGTTTGCTAGAGGAAAAAACGAATCTTTGTTGGAGAAAATTCAGCAGAATGCTCCTTAGAAGCCAGCGTGATTAGACTTTGTCTCTCATACTTTGGACATCTTATCAGCAGGGACCAATCCCTGGAGAAGGACATCATGCTAGGTAAAGTGAAGGGTCAGCGAAAAGGAGGAAGAGCTCCAATGAGATGGATTGGCACAGTGGCAGCAGCAATGAATGGGCTCAAGCTTATCAATGAATGTGGCGATGTGGCACAGTGGCAGCAGCAATGAATGGGCTCAAGCTTATCAATGAATGTGGTGATGTTGCAGGACTGGAGAGTTTTCATTCTGTTGTAAGTCAGAATTGGCTTGACGTCACCTAACAACAACTAAGAACATAAGGAGTTCTGGTGTGACAATGTAGCACATGCACTGGACTGCTAACTGCCAGATCAGTAGTTCAAAGCCACCAGCTGCTCCTTGTTGTTGTTGTTGTTAAGTGCTGTCAAGTTGGTTCCAACCCATAGCGACCCTGGACAGGGTTTCTGAGGCTGTAAATCTTTATGGGAGCAGAAAGCCTCATCTTTCTCCCGCGGAGCAGCTGGTAGTTTTGAATTGCTGACCTTGTGGTTCTCAGCCCGATTCGTAACCACTACGCTACCAGAGCTCTTTAGCTGCTCCTTAGAAATCCTCTAAAGGGCTGCTATGAGTTGGAATGGACTGTAAGTGCCGTTGAGTTGGTTTTGACTCGTAGCGACCCTGTATAGGGTTTCCAAGGAGTCTATATGCAGTGACTTTGAATACATACATATATATGCTTTTCAGATCAATATTTCTTCCCTTGAGACAGAAAGGAAATTAGTGGTAGTTTGTGGCTGGAGTGTGGAAATGGGGAATAATTAACAGGCATGAGGAAATGTATTGGAATGATGAAAATACCCTAAAACTCTATCATGGTGATAGTAGTACAAAACTTCTGGAAATATTTGAATTGCACCCTTAAAACTTCATCAAAGCTGTGAAAAAAAATCCTATTTCTGTATTTGAGTTCCTGTGGGTCCTCAGCCACAAACAATATGAATAATTGCTCTTTCTGTATCTGAGTTCCTGTGGGTCCCAGGCTACACCCAATAAAAGAAGAATCATATCACTAAGTTTCAACTGCTCTTTTCCCACTGAATACTGTTGTTTTCCATTGCGGGAAGCTGGGCTGTGTCATAAAACCCTGGGTGCTATAGGATCTATAAGTCTACCCTGACCCCTGTTGGTAAGGAGTGAAGGTGCTGACCTCTATGATAGTAGGAGACAGTGGACATGTAGCAGCTAGGACTGCTGCCCACGATCATGATTGGCACCTTCTTTCAGAGCTGGCTATGCATGTTTCAGAAAATAAACCTGTTGGAGTCTGTCTTGTAAGTAATGGGCATTTTTCTTCTTTTTCAGGTTGTCTTAGTCTTTGCTCTCAGCATTGGTGCACTTGTAATATACTTCATAGATTCGTCAAAGTGAGTATTCAAATACGTTTTCGTTTTTTGTCCCCTTTCAAGAACAATCATGAGCCTTTACCCTGATCAATATGTTTGCTTTAACCAACGTCTGCACGAGCCTCCTGGGTACAGAAAACTTTTAAGGAAGGAAGGGCTTTTCTGTGCTGATTTTCTGAATGGGAAAAGTCTCAGAAAGAAGGCTGCTTTGATTCTGCTGGCATAGATGAGAGAGCTGTCTGAGGCCACACCTCCTCGCTTGGTGTTACTTAATGTTTAAACATCTGTTTCCTAGCATATTATTTTTACTGAGGACGACAAGAGGGCTTTGATAGGAAGTTGCAACCTCTGGAAGGGTTACAGTATTTAATACATGAGAGTTGGCGCCGTTCTTAACGTGGTTGTAGCATCCTTTTCTCAATACAGTTTCCAAAGATTCGATCTTACTGTAGTTCAGACCCGAAAACATGGCATTTTCTTTGTGCTTTGCAACATGAGTGTTGAGGGGAGGCACTGCACGCCGGTGGTTCTTGACTTGGGAAACTAAGAAGATGTGGTGGAATCCAAGAGGACTTCGGGAGGTGGGGCTCCATGGCCATCTGAGAATTCTTAGATGCCTGAGCTGACCCCTTGGTCCCTACCAATGAGAACCAGTGGTCTAGGGTATTCTGGAGTGTGATCCCTGCAATAGATGATAAAGGCCATATAGGAGACAGAAGAGGGTGCTGACCAGGGCTGCAAGAAAGCACCAGTTCTACCCTGGTTCTTGCAGGTATCATCCCTGGCTACAGCCTTTCTTCTGCCTATTCTTTTGTTGCAAACTTGAAGATGCCAGTGTATGGAGCTATGGAATGATGTTGAAGTTTGACTGCTTTTCTATCACGACATGAAGAACTCTGACTGTAATGTGGATGGTTACTAGACTTTGACTGTAGGAAAACCCACTGGGTGTCTCTCTTGACTTTGTTCTCACTGTACACGATTCCTGAGCTTGCTTCTGTCTTTCCATGGTTCAGGATGATGGTGATTTTATGAATGCCAAAACCCTGAATTTCTTAGAGCTGGCTGGTGACCAGCCAGAGGATTTTGTACACCGTTGGTGCATAGGTCAAAACGTCAGGTCAGGGAAAATAAAGAAAACATCTCTTATAAAAACGTGTCTCTGGGAATGAGCTAAGTCTGAGAATGTCAGAGGACTTATATAGCTCATTCTCACACACGAGGCCTGGGCTGTTCTGTTCTTGCCTGTCTTCAGATGGAGGGTGCTTTAAAAATTCTCCAGGAGAGAACAAACAAGATGGCGAATCGGGTAGACGTGTAGTAAAGGAGCTCCACCAACAACACAGAATACACGACCAAGCAGGCTCAGGGGATGATCCCAGAACTCTGAACCACATATAAAGGAATA